TTCCGTTATCCACTATTCGTTATCCATTATTCGCTAATCGCCACCCGTTACCCAATACCACTATTCACTATTCGTTATCCGCTATCCGTTGAAGTTTAACCATTGTACCAAATAGGCCCTTAATGTTGACTTTGTAGCCTTTGAAGTTTGATTGCATTTTTTGTGTCTTTCCGTTTGAATTTGATTTCATTACTAACATAATTTCTTTTCACTTGCTTTTTTTTAGGTGGTTTTAGGGAATTTCGGTGCATACCTATTCCAATTCCTTTATCTTCTATTCCGCTTTGTTAATGGAGGTAATTTCTTTCTGTCACTATTTTCACAACCATTGTTGTTTTAATTTCTACCCATAATATTCTTCATGTGCAACTTTTTAACAATATATGCTTTAATTATAGGAAATACAAACAAAAGTTAAATCTCCTTATACGAACTATGCCAACCTATGATGAAACCCGTAAACAAGACAAGGCACCAAGACTGTTTTTAAGACAAGTTCGAGAGGATGAAACCACGACCCGTTACCTATGATGAGGTAAGAACCTTGGTATGGAGAAGACGCCACAATCAACTATGGAAGGGTTGACTGATAAGTCGAGGATGAACGCCACGGATAATTCTGATAAGTTCGAAAAGTTATTCAAAAAACTAGAGAGAATTCATTCTCACAATGTTGATGACTAATCATGTGTTTTACAATTAGGGTTGCAGCCCAATAAATAGCCAAAACTAATCCTAACCAAAATAGGAAACCAACAAACCAAGTCCTAACCCTAATAACCACGAATTTGAGCTTCAACTAAATGAATGTTTAGCCCAAATAACACAACAAACATAAAAATAAGCTAAAATAACCTAAGAACATTGTCAAATATTAATTTGCGGCCAACTACGACAGATTTGACGCAAACTGTGTAATTCAACCCAAGAAAGAAAAACTTGGCATGCAAGCCAAAACCCAAAAAGGAAAGTAATAAGTTTGAGCCAAAATGCTTGCTGAGTTCACGCCCAAAGTTCATGACCACTACTTACAAAGATTAGGCTTGGCTTTGATAGAGTCTTCTAGAACTTGGATTAGGCTGATGTAATTTTGAGGCTCACATGGACTTCCCTCAATGGGCCTCCATGAATTTACTTCAGCCCATATTTCTCGAATTAGCCCGTTAAGCGCTTCCTTGAACTTCTTAGCTTGAGCCCTCGTAATTGGTCCAACGAGAACTTGAATTAAATCCTTTAAAGTCAAACCTGGATTACATCATCTCCCCAAATTGAAAGAGATCGAATGGACGAACATGACAAGTTAGAAAAAAGTTCAAATCCTGATTTAGCTACTCCATGTTCTGGTATGTCTTTTAACTCTGAACAAGAGCTCCATGATTTTTCAAAAATTATGCTAAACAAAAAGGATTTGGTATAAGCAAGAAAAGTGCAAGAAAGGGAGATGATGGCCAAAAGAGATAATATTCACTTACCTACAATAAATATGGTAAGAGGAGAACAATTTTTTTTTTTTTTTTGAATGGCAATAATAGGAGAATAGTTACAACAAGGTGCACTTTCAATTTTAGACCATCAATTAAGACTGGATGCAAGGCTAAGATTAATATGAGGGTCAATAATGAAGGAACTTTCACCATCTTTGGAGTTAACTTGGAACATAACCATACACTCAGCCCAAATAAATCGAGGTTCTTTAGATGCAATAAGGCAATGGACTTACATGTGAAGAAAATGCTTGAAGTGAATGATGAAGCTGGAATTTCATTAAGTAAAAGTTTTTATTCACTAGTTGTTGAAGTTGGAGGATATGATAATTTGCCATTTATTGCGAGAGATTGCAGAAATTACATTGCCAAAGCAAGGCAATTTAGGCTTGCGGTTGGTGATGCAGAAACCCTTTATGATTATTTTTATTGCATGCAAAAAAGAAATTCAAATTTTTTTCATGTGATTAATATGGATGAAGAAGGTCACTTGAGAAATGTGTTCTAGGTTAATGCAAGATCTATAGCAGCATATGAATGATTCAATGATGTTATATCATTTGACACCACATACCTAACTAATACATATGACATACCATTTGTACTTTTTGTTGGTGTGAACCATCATGGTAGACCATTCTACTTGAATGTGGGTTACTATCAAATGAGAATATAGAGACTTATACTTGTTTGTTTAACTCGTGGTTAAAGTGTATGTCTTATTGTTATCCAAAAGCAATTATTACATATCAATGTAAGGCTATTAAAGCCGTAGTAGTAAAAGTATTTTCGAATTCTCATTATTGATTTTGTATTTGGCATATTATGAGCAAGATTCCAGTAAAGCTTGAAACATTAGTTGAATACAATGCAGTGAAGAAAACTTTAAAAAGAATTGTTTGTGAGTCCATTTAAGTTGGTGAATTTGAAGAAACATGGTGCAAAATGATTGAGAAGTATAATTTAGAAAAGAATTAGTGGTTGAATTCTTTATAAGATACTTGACATTATTGGGTTCTTGTGATATCCCAAAATTTTGTGATATTTTAGCATTAAGTTAAGGACTTGATTGTGAGGAAAATATTGTTTTGGGGCCTAATAGTAAAGATTCCAAAGTTGAGGGGCTTAAAAAGGGAAAAGATTTTGGATAAGGATCGGAGGATTTTTTTCTTCTTCCCAGCCTTGCCCGATTCTGCTCTTCTTCTCCTTTCTTCCCGCTGCAGCCCAAAAAGGAACCCAGCCAAGCCGACAGCCCCACTTGGAAAATTGGTAAGGAAGCTTGGATTTTTCCCTTCTTTTCTTGTCCAAAAACCGGATTTGGAGCCTTGGAACCTTCTCCCCCTGCTGGAAATTCCAGATTTGTTCTGCTCTGCGTCTTCCTCCCTTGCTGTCCGCGAATTTCTGTTGGTGTGGGTGGCGAATTTTCCGGGTTTTGGGTAAGAAGCAACCCGAAATTCCTCTTTTCTTTCTTGAATTGGCTTGGGTTTGCCTTAATTTCTCTTGTTGCTCCAGATTTTGGGTAATTCCGTGAGTTCCCCTGCAGATTTCCGCCGGCTTCTCCCCCAGCCAAGCTCGGTTTCTGCAGCTGGAAAATTATGGTATGTGGCAGCTTCTCTAAATGCAAGTTTTAGCCATTTAATTGCTGCCCTGTGTGTCCGAAATTCTGGATTAATTGGGGGAGAAATTTGACAATAATTAGACCATGATTTAGCTTAATTCATGTAGAAAATCAGCTTAATTGACTGTTGTGAGATTTTGGAGAAAATCTCGTGAGAATAGGCTATGGTTTTGCCAATTTTGGAAGTTGGAGTTACTGTTCACGTCGTGGTTACTGTTAATGACACTGTTCATAGATTACTGTTCACACGTCGAGGGTCAACAATTAATGGGGATTTAAATGATTAGTTTGTGATATAAGAACAAATTTGAAGATATTTGATCATGTGGAGATTGATAGGAATAGCATCGGGATTAGGGGTGATCCTAATGAAGTTTTCAGTATGAATTTGTGATAATATGATAATTAATTTTTGGATATTTTGATTAGGTTCCTGATCGTTCTGTCAGATAGCACTGAGATCGAGTCTTTGGTTTTATGCGAGTGAGGTAAGTAAATTTATGATAATGCCCGTATAATTTTTAAAAGTATGTTTTGATTTATTTTTGAAGTGGTAGCGAGACTAAACCCGTTTTACACAAGTATGATTGATTTGAAGTGAAATTTTTATACTTTTCATTAAATTGAGCATGCCTACTTGAAATTTAATTGATTGTCTTGATGATTTGAAAGTGATTGGTGAATTATGATTTTTCTGTTAACTTCTGCCTGTTTTGTCTCCGATGTGGTTATGTTATTAATGATCCTGCTAGTGGGGGTTAAACGCTAGCACATGTCGACATGTTATTGATAGAACCGGTTTGTTCAAGTGTAGCCTGCCAGTGGGAGGTTTATAACACTGGCCGTGACCTATAGAAGAGACGTCTATTTCGTTCTCGTACTGTATCTGTTTTTCGTAATTACACTTGTTGGTATGCTATAAGTTTAATTAAGGGCTATCCATATTTACTTATTGAGTTTATCTCATAGTTTCCTTGTCCACAATTTTAGGAAGCGAAATCGAGGACGGGTAAACCACGGGAAGTGCCGAGTTGGAAGGCTAGCCATTTCGAGACTGATATAGATTTTAGAGATAAATGATGATCTTGTAAACTCGACTTTATTGGAGATTTATAATATTAAAGCAAATTATAAAATTTGATCTTCAGATTTTGGTGGTATCAGATTGTGATATGGTTAAGTTCCGAGCCTTGTACATTTGTGGAATCCTCTCACGAGTGCACGGCATATGTCGCGCCTCGAATTTGAGTTTTGGGGCGTGACAGTTCTAGTGTACATTAAAAATATTTTTTGGACCGAAATGTCTAGCACTCAAAGAAGTGAAAGCGTAAATGTATTTTTTGATGGATATGTAGGTCATAGAACATCTTTGAAGCAATTTGTGGAGCAATATGATAATGCTTTGAAAAGCAAGATTGAAAATGAGAACAAAGCAAATTTTGCTTCATTTAATTCTAGTTATCCACTTATCATTGGGTATTATTTTGAGAAGCAATTTCAGTAGGCTCATACCAACAAGATTTTTAAATTGTTTCAAGATGAGATACAAGGCTTGGTTACTTGTAATTTAGTTTCTAATGCAACTAATGAGTCATTATCAAAACTCCTTGTGAAAGACATTTTAGTAGGAAAAGATGGCAATTTTAAAAAGAAAGTGGTTTATGATGTTTATTTCAATGAAGAAGAATGTGATATTGAATGTTCTTGTTGTTTGTTTGAGTTCAAAGGGATTCTTTGTAAACATGTGGTGAAGGTATTGATTGAGAAAAATATGGAAAAGGTTCCATGTTGGTATATCCTAGATCATTAGAGGAAGGATATCAAGCATAGACACACTTTGATTAAGAATTGCTATTATGATTTTGAATTTAGTGAAAAGAAATTGAGATATGATGAGTTGTGTTCTCAATTCTATAGAATTGTAGAAGTTGGAGCTGAATCAAGAGAAAACTTTGAATGTTTGGTTATTTATATGAATAAAGTGCTTGGAAAACTTATGAATCAACAAGATGTTGAGAGCATTAATCGTCATATAAACATGGAGCCTATGGTAGATAGCAATGAACATTAGCAAGTAAAAACTTCTAGATTACTATTTCCCTCACAAGTACGAGTAAAAGGTCTTACTCCATCAAAAAGAAAGCAATCTACTGTAGAACAAATTGTAGAGAAGAAGAAAAGGAGCAAGAAAAAGTTAATAGTAAGATTATTTTAAACCAAATGTATAGTTTCAACTATATTTATGTTTTTTACAATCTTTTATTCATTTTTTAGGCCATCAAGGAAAATCAAAATGAGTAATATAAAACTAATGTGCAACCACCAAAAAGGAGACTGGTAATATTTTTTCAAAAGTATATTTTGATTAACAGTGTTAAAGTGTAACCAACAAAGCAGAGTGGTTGATTTTAATTTCTCATAGTACTTTAGTAGTATTAGTTTTTTTCAAAAGTATATTTTTATATTCTTGCACTTGCCACTTGTGTGGATTAGTTACACAAATATGGTATTTTTGGATTACTCATTTGGTAAAGGAATATATTGGCAAGATAACCCTAGCAATTGGAGATGGGGTAAATGATGTTGAAATGATTCAAGAAGCAAATATTGAAACTAGGATCAATGGCATTGAAGGAATGTAGGTAATTTATAGATAATCAATTGGTGGAAAATTTTCTTTTTGTATGCCAAACTTACACTTTGATAGCTATTTATATGTCTTTTGCTACTTACAAAATAGAATGTATACCAAAATGTAAATAGAAAGAGGAAAAACAAATATTAGAATTTGTTTTTTTCATGTATTGATGATCCCTTGCAGGCAATCATGGCTAGTGACTTCTCACTACCTCAGTTTTGAAAGAAAAATGTTTTAAATTTATAGCACTTTTCAAGTTTATGATGATGATTAAATTTTAAGAACTGTTCTATTTATTGTTGAATTTTTTTAACTATTTGAGGGGAACCTAAACTATAATGGAGCAATGAACGATTTTGATCTTAATTTGGATTATATATCACAAGTTATATTCATTCTTACCTTTTTTAGTATTGGTAATTTCAATTTTTTTATTATATATTTATAGTTTATCTAATTAATTTATTCATATCTTCATTTGTAGAATGATGACAAGTCTATAACAGATTCCATACTTGAAGGTTCCTTTCCAATTGACGAATAATGTAATCTAGATTGTATCATTTCATAATGAAAGGGAAGTTGAATTGCTACGGTGGATTCCAAGAAAGTAGTTTAGATATTTAGGAGCATATATAATTTTTTTGTTGACAAATTTCTATTAATAATAGTAATGCATAACTCCTCTCTCTCTCTCT